GACGTATTACATACATTACCTAATAATACCAGAAGCGAAAACTATGTCCCGAACTGAACCCTCCACACAAATGAAAACCGAAGTAAGTTGGGGATTAAAATCTATTGGTTGTTTCAGCTAATAAGGGCTTTACTTTAAAACGAACTAAAACACATTGAAATTTAGAAAAACATCGATTCAAAAGCAAGGTTTTGAACCTTCCACTCCTATGTTACTAGTGAGAAGAGAAAATAAGGCAACCTCATTGCTTGGAATTATCACAGAACGTGTTTCGCACCGAGGAGAATAATCAAGCTAGTTTTTGAGAAATGACATTGAATGGCTTTCCTGACAAGATCAGCATTTTTCACATGAATACCGCGGCATTCATAAACGTCAGTAAATTCAGACAGGTGAGAAGATAAAGATTTGCCTTCATTCCCACGTGATACCACATAACTACTTCGGAGTTCGAAGGCGCTCGGTGCTCGCTTCAACCAGTGTTGATTCACAAAACACTTTCTGTGCAAATTTCCGCAAGCGTTAATAAAATACACGATTTATCGAGCGGTTTTGTAATAACTTACGAAATTAGGTGTGATTTTCATCACACAGGATCGCGGCAAAAACGCGATTTTTCTAGAAATTTTGTAGAAAAGTGAAAAATTACGATATTTTCATCTTAATAACGCGGGAAATCCCGGAAAACGCGATTTTTCCAGCGGATTTGTACTAAAAGAAAATTTACGCGTTTTTCACCATAATATCGCGGCATTGTCGGCCTCCTATGGTGTAGTGGTTGTAGCGCTTGCTCTATAATCGGGAGGTCCCGGGTTCGATTCCCGGCCAGGCGACCCGAGTTTGATGGTCTCAAACAATGGTTGCCTGAGGCTGGTTCAGTAGGGACGGAGGGGGATGGGACTTAAAGCGTGGGATTAGCCCTTGTGGGCTATTTGAAGTAAAAAAAAAAAAAAAAAAAAAAAAAATGTACGCCATTGCTCCAGAATTTTTGTGAGGACAGACGTAATAACGCATTATTCCAAGAATATCGCGGCATTCATGAACGTCTGTAATTTGAAGCAGGCGATAAGCTAAGATTTTCCTTCTTTTTCGCGTGATACCACACACCTACTCCAGAGTTCGAATAGTTGCGAACACGGGCGAAAGGCTATGATTTTCCTTCAATTTCGCGTGATACCACATGACTACTTCGAAGTTTGAATAGTTGCGAGCTTGGTGTCCGCTCTGACCAGGGACCAGTGTTGATTCATAAATTATTTTCATGCAAATTTCCGTAAACATTCAAATTCACGCGATTTTTCTGGCGATTTTGTAAAAACATGAAAGATTCTTGGAATATGCATAAAAATTACGCGTTTTTCACCTCATTATCACGGTAAAAACGCGATTTTTCGGGCAGGCGGTAGTGAAAAAATAAAGAAATTTATGCATCTCATGGTGTCTAGAAATCTTAGCCCTGCTCACTCCCTGATTTTACCGTAGAAAACGAATCACTCGATGGGAAGTTTAGAAATCAACTCCCAAACAAGATATAACATGTATCTTTTCACACAGCAGATCAAACGGAAGTTTAGTTTCCTAAACATGATGTCATAAGCAATTAGACAACTTCACCAATGTTGCTTGTAAACACAGCTAGCTAATGTCTCCTGAAGGAATTGATTTTCAGACTTCTTTTTCTTCGATTCATTTTCTGGTGAAATTTTGAAAAAAGAAAAAAAAACAGAAACATAACAAGGAAATGTCTCTCACATGATGGTTCATTGAGACTATTAGATTACTCTTATGTATCTAAGTAACATAACTGGGATTTCAAAAGGCATCGAAGCTAGAGAGCAATGCATGGACTTCTCTCAGAATTGAGAGCTGTTATAAGGGTTTTTTCGCTCTTTCAACTTCAGTGGTTTCTTTAAAGTTAACAGCAGAGGATATCGCGATGAGCTGTGGTATTTATTAATTCTGGTCCACTGCTACAGTCCAGCCTGTTTCAAGCAGTCCAATAGGTGGACCGATTGCTCATCTAAACTCATTGAGCGGTTACAAGCAATCCTAACCTCAAGCACAACTGCTTTGAGCCGGAGATAATCCAACCCATACAGTTCCACAGATAATGAAAGAGCCAGAAGAATATTAAACAAGAACCTATGTGCCACTATCATTTAAAACTGTAGGTAGAAAATGAATCAGTCAACCTCACTTTGAAGGGACGACAACTAAGTGGAGTATTGTGTGTAGTTATTCCAACTATTACTTAGGAATGCAGTTACCACAACAACCACTGCAAGTGATATTAGGGCTTCTTTTTTCTCCGAACCGCAGAGGATCACTGTGGGACGCAGCACTTTTTTATCCCGTTCCACTGGAACGCACCAGCGCTTGGACCACTCTTGTGAGGCTATGGTTATGCAGATTGAACTAGCCCAAACCGCAAAGATACCGATCCATCGCGTTCCATGGATATAAAAAAGCCCTAGTAGTGCAATTCCTATTCAATCTAAAAAAGGGCAAGGTTGCACAAGAGGTAGAGTAATATATATTTACTTGGTGGTATCTTGATTTCTCATTAATAAAACTGATGGTTCATCCTCATTGTTGTTACTATGTAAAATTCAATTTAAGTACTCAGAGGGATCCAAAACAGTGATTCAGAGGACGATAATTTGATAACTCAGTGATGGACTTGGTAGAATTTTGGAAAGCAAATCCACTATCAGGACATACATCCCATGATGCAAGTTTCCTTCAAACTAATTGGTGATAAGAGTACACGCCAAACAAGTTTATGCAGTTCTAGACAGTGACAGAAGATCTTCTGACATCACTGCGACGTAAATTAAATGCAAGTATCCATATGGCGGATCTTCCGCCACTGTTTAAGAGAGTGTAAACTCATTTAGCATGGACTCATCGACTACTACTATGGAGAATGGAGTCAAATATTGGAGTTTCACGGAGAGCTTATCCTCAGGTAACGAGCCCTTACCGACTACTTTCACCTGGACTCAGTAACGGAGATCGACTTAACTCTATTCCTTCAGATTGTCAATGGACTAATAGCTGACTGAGACAATGCAACTGATAGGCAGCATATTTCTTGCTTTGGAGTAAACAAAGGAATTCAGTACTGATCGAAGGCGGATTCGAGCAGCTACGCCAGCTGGGGTGTGCTAGAGTTTTTCGTACTGGCAAAATATCGCAAAATAGTGCCCAGATTTGGCTCATGAAGTCGAGTAGCAAAATTGAACCTATCAAAAACAAACTTACCTTCAGTCACACGTCCTCTTTTGGGTAAGGTGTCACTAGGCTTGTCCTTATCACCCATGCTTTTGATCTGACACTGCATGATTTGAACTGAATGATGTGGATTTCAGGCGGTACAGATCGACACTTGAAAACTTCGCGCTAATTCTTCGGACATTCTTTGCCGAGTGTGCGGCAAAAGGCGAAACCTACAATAAAAAATAAAATCGCGATGAAGATCTGGTTACGCACTTCAACTATCAAACCAGTTGCTTTCTAAATAGAAACAAAACGGGAGTAGCCAGTGTTGCAGCTTCGCAGGATAAAGGGGAATTTTTAGCAAACGTAAACAAACGAGATATCGAACTTTACACCGAAACTTTATTTCATCATAAGAAAAAAATTAATTCATAGTTATAAGCGACCGAGACAGTTATTCCGACAGCTTTTGAGAAATAGAAAATCTCAGTTAAAGACTCGCCGTAACAGATGTTACTATCCGAACTGAAAGTGGAATATCAAAATTAGTCAAATCGGTCAAATCGCAAAGAGGACTTCATTCAAATGAAAAGCGCGGGAACCCATATATGATGAGAGGGGAAGGGGGTCTGAAACCTAAATAATTCAGAGATACTCACCGACAGCTTCTTTTTTAATTGATGAAATTACATTCTATACCTATTCAGACATAAAATTCGCACCTCTCATTTATTACCCTATAAACGTACCTACCTAGGTACAAAAAAACATGAAACCTGTTGCTATTTAGGGCACTATTATACAACATTTTTTGGAACATACCATTTTCCACAAACCATGCGTTGAACAAAATACAACTTTGCACAATTGGTTTAGTGCACAGTTGGTTTTAGAATTAGTTTGGGGCTCTCATCATGTAAGAAAAAATTATTTCCAGAAATTGTCACAAAAACTGGAATGCTGGTTTCTCCATAATAGCTGGGAGATGTTTATATTAATTATGGTTGAGGCTATTTTGGGATTCTAATGCATTCCTGCGTGAATTCATCATGGATGGAAAACATTTAAACATCACGATCACCTTACTAATCGATGGCCGAAGTGCGAAACCACAGGCTCCGTTGACGACGTTGCAGGCCTCTTTTCAAATTTTATTTCTTCTTTGAAAAACTAATTGATGTAGTTTCTTGAAAATTTCTTTGATTTGTCTGCTCTGTTAGTAGATTATTCTTTGTAAATTTCAAGCTATGAAACTGGCTTGTTTCCATTCGAAAAAAAAAAATAGGAGTGGAAACTTTGAAACATTGCAATGAGAATGTCCGTTTTACACTTTGGCCATCGGTATCAAAAAGCTTGATGATTATTTAGAATGGTGCTTGCAAAATTTTTCATTCAAGTTGCTTTTGGCAAAGCCTGGCAAAAAATGGTTTGAAAACAAATTTTGAAGAGGAATGATGAAACGTGGTGCTTTCATTCACACCTACCTGCGGTTCACCAGATACTATGAGCGTGTGTGCAGGTCTTCAAATATTTTCCCCAGATCTTTTGGGAAAATTTATGGACTTTTTCTGACTCCAGACACATTATGGAGGTAGCTGACTTTTTCAGGAATTCCGAGACTAGATATTGTGCAATGAGATGGCGTACTCTCATTAAAAATTTACAAAACGTTCTCAAATGGTTGAGCACATTCAAACCCACCAGAGCTTATTAAATCAGCAGCTAATCTCTTGGAATTAGGATGTGGAGTTTAAAAATATTTAACATTCAATAGTCAAAAATAAAAGAGTATGTAGTCAAAACCTTTATTTTAGAAAACACATACAAAAACAATGTCTCAAATGGAGACTTTAAACTTTGAGAAATGCAATGAACACAGCTAAATCAACGGAGCAAAATTCTCCCTGGGAGAAAGTTCCCTCTTAAAGTCTACTTCTGCACCACAATCCCTATTCTCAATACCTAACAATGATAACAGAAAAACTACGGGGTAAGTTGAGAGGCAATCAGGGAAATGAATGAACAAAAATAAACCAAATAATAATAATATTAATAACTCCTGAACAATAACAAAAGGTTCCATGATTGAGACCTCTCTCCTTTTTTTTATGAATCAATATGGGGTTTTAAAATTTAATTCTACTAAAACATTATTTAAATTGCAAATAGATAATTTACAGCTGGCTGTTTCATGTTCTCTGATACAAGAGAAAATTATTGAAAAAAAGTATGATGATCTGTGCTCATGATATTGATATCCTTACTTTTCGGAGAAGTCTCATTCAAGGAACTATATGTGGTCAAACTGCCGTTTGATAAATCACATGAATCACATCAATTCAATTCTGAGCTCTGTTGAGCTAACGAAAAACACCATTGAACTTTTGGAACTTGCCATAAAACCTCTTGATAAAATTAAGAACTTTATAAATAAATCCTCTTGATCTTAATTTTCTAAAGAACACAAGACTAAGAGAGAAAAGAGAGCAGGAAAATGAAAACACTTGAGCTGAAAGAATTAAGTTTGATTTTTTCATATTTTGTTTTTTCCATTAGTTCCAAATCTTGTTTTCGTTTCTTTCAATTTTGTGACTTATGACTGTATTTTTCTGAATTTTACTAAGCTTATATTCCCATTGAAAGAGGCATACTTGTAAATTTTGGAGGTAAATGTTCTTACTGTTTCTCAAAAACAGATAATTTCTCAGGAAAAGACAGCATTATGATGTTCTTACAGCGTTTTCCCTCCATATGACAGAACTCTCAGGAAACTCTGATTTTTTACTGAAAAAGGTTGATTGCGTTTGCGCCTACATTCTGGGACTTACTTGTACTGAATCAATAGAAAAGCTGATAAAAGGAGGTCTTCATACTAGAAGTTTTGTCACACAAAATTATTGGACCTCTGTTTTGATGTTTTCGAGAATGAGACTTGAATGTTCAAAACAAGTTATTTCCCCAAAAAGTTGGGCACGAGGGTCTCTTATTAAAGTGACAAAATAATGCTTCTCACATTTCAGGGCTTTAATAGCCTTTTAGCTTAGGGCATTGCGCCCGAGCTGAGAGGTGTGCACGGCTATTTCAAGCGAAGTCTCATAATTTCTATTCATTCCAGAGAATATTTTTTTGGATTTATTCTGACTGAATTAACAGCAAAGAGAGTGGAAAGAAAAAAAAACAAAACAAAACAAACAAAACTAATACAGGAACAAAAAAAATTATATTAAAATACGGGGAATTAAAGTACTGACCTCTTGACTGAAGTGCACTGCCTTGGGTTACTATGACATCGCTAGAAGCATAATGTTTTCACTTCAGCAAGCAATTCAATTTGCCAATCTTTAATTATTTTTTGAACTTCATGGTCCTATTAGCAAAAACGGCAAAATAGGGGTCCAATATTTTTATATGTAGGAACTTTTAGCAATAGTCAGACTAAAATCTAGGTGGGACACTACATGACTTCCCCTTGTGAGAGAAATTAAAGTAAGAGGAGTCTAAAAAAATAAATATTACACATAAATCAAGAATCAAATGCAATATCAAATTTCATATGGTTTTTTCATGGTTTCCTATATTTTTCATCTCTTTTAAGAGAATTAAAAAAAAACCCTCTTTCAGCATAAGAGGAGGGAACGCAAAAATATAACAATTGTATTTTACCTACATTTTATCTCAGACACAGACCTTATCTTCATTGCATTCAAAAGAAGCAAATTAAATACATAGACTTGGTCAAAGGAATGATATTTTTTTGATATCTTTCAGTCGTTGTCCCAACAACAATGCAGGGACAGTAATTTTTCACTCGCCAATGTGAGCAATATTGAATTACACATTCTGGTATGCATTAACCTAAATGTGCACATATTTCATTTGCAGTGTTGCATGTATCTTAAAGGCGATCCAACATTTGAAAATTACATAAATATAATCACAAGAAGAGCCCATTTGGAGGGCAAACATTTTTGGCACTAAAAATTTAATAACCGGTCATTGACTTAATTTTTGGAAGAGGGACTACCTAATTAAATTGTCTTTTACAATGGAAAACATTGTCTTTTACATTGGAATATTGTAAAACTTTTAAATGAAACAAAACAATAAACAAGGGAGTAGAATTAAGGCTTTCTCTAGGATAGATCTCCTTCTGCTAGCCATTCGAGAATTTTCGGTGTGAAGTATGTTATGATGACATCAGCACCTTTAAAAATCAGAAAATAAAATAAATTACTAAGGACACAAAATGAGTGGAAAAAAATTGCATCGAATGACAGGGTGTTCATAACTAATTAACGTGCCTTAAAGTAATGAGTCAATATTCATAATGATGATACAATTTTGTAGTATATATATAAAAATGAAACAAACATGTGCAAGCCCAAATTAGAGCAGGGAAGGGAGTGCAGAATGTATCTTAAGGAAGAAATAGTGAATTTTGGAATGACTATAGCAATGGACCCAAGTGTGCCAAAACCATGTTCAATGTTCTTGTCCTGTCCTCTCTCTATTACAAAAATTCCTACAAAAAGATGAGTAAAATGACCCCTAACTGCTGCATTCATTGTGTGTGCCTGTAGAATTATAATAATTTTGGGCCTGATCAGCTTAAATTTTTTGGTTACCATGATAACAGTAGCCATCTTGCAACAGCCAGATGGTTTCACACTGACTTGATATTTTTTAGTTATACTTCGTTTTAAAAGAGCATTGGAACAGCGATTCTGACGAGATTCGATTTGAAATAATTCTTGCCAAAAATTTGTAAGTGGCAGAATTTTAAAGCTCATTAAAATTGTCACTGTCAATTACTTTGAAAATGAGATGATTCTGATTTCAATCGTTCGCTCAAGATTTGATCTTTGAAATGAAGTCAAGATCATTTCTCTAGCATCATAAGTTTTGAAATAGCAGCATTAGTCTACTTTCTATCAGGACAAGCTATGTATGTTACAAATTATTTTGACGAATCTAGTCAATAATTTGAACTTTGACTTGCACTGACTCTAAGTGCTGGATAACATTTATTTGTTTATTTATCTACCTAGGTTCAATTATTATGAGAAATATAAAACTTCTCAAGAAAATGTTACAACCTTCTCAATAAAGTTCTTTAAAAATGATGAAATCAGAGGTGCAGAAAATGCCTGATCACACACCCGGACGGGCGCATGAAAATGTGGAAAAGCTCCCAAAATGTGGAAGGAGGGAAAATTTTAAAGGGTAATTAGTCGAAAGTCAACGGAAAACAGAATGAAAAGTCATCTTTTTTTTAAATTGGTGGGAAATTTTGTGGAAAAAAAATGTCGAAAGCCCACAGGCGGGTGCGTAAAAATGTGGAAGCTTGGAAGATTCTGCACTCCTGAATGAAATTTCATCCCATATTTTTTCAGCAACATTCTTTTTTAACCCTTAAAATCAGTGCTGAAATATTTGTTTTCATTATCTCAAATCGAAGAAATTAAAAAGCATCTAACCTGCGCGTCTCATGGACTGTAAAACTTCTGTCACTCCAGCCTTCAGATCCATTATACCGTTTTCAGCTGCTAGATACAACATTGAGTACTCTCCAGAGACCTACAAGATAAAAGGAAAACATGATTTAATATTCTGGATAATTAAGCGGTAGCACATTAATTTACCAATTGTTTAGCATTGGTGACCAAAAATTTGAATGTCCCGCTTACTTGAAAAACTAGAGTCCACTTAAATTACACCTCTCACTTCAAAGGTTTTGACAGGCTTTTCAATAAGCAGAGTTCCTGCCCCATCCTGCGTTGTTCAAAGTATAAACAAGGTCTGATAGCTGAGCCAAATTGCTGATTTGGAGGTTGTTATATTTCCATACTACAGGGAATGTCACAGTAACGTTTAGTGTGCTATTTAACTCAAATAGATTACGGTTTTTTTCATGCACCGGAAGTTTGAATTTACGCATGAAAAAAGTTATCATCTTTATTAGGAATTACTTTTAGTAATTTTTGTCACACAAATCATGTTCTACGTGAAACTTTGATGAAAAAAATGCATCATGATGCTTAAATTCAAACCTTGTCTAGCTTACCATTAGCTTAGACCTGATAAAACAAAAAAATACTGACAGGAAATACACTGGGACTGACTTGTCTTATTATTAAGTTATCAAGTATATCTATTCTTGGCTTCAAACTAAGTAGCTAACATAGCTTCATAGTCCTAAAATCTATTTATACATTTCTACCATGCACCTCAAAGTTAGATTGTGCTTGTACCCTATAGCTCAAAGCACACACATACCAAATTTCCGCTATGTTTAGTGGCTGTCTATTAAGCCAATAACTGTGTGATGTAACAACTGTGACAGAAGCTACTAACATAGGCTCCAAGCACAGCCATGCTCCCACCAAATTGGTCTCTTATTTCCATCTCACACCAATGGCACACAGTGGAAGTAGTGCACGCTACAAGCGCAACCAGGCAGTGTGGACTGACTACTATTGAATGGCCTTGTACGTCCTCTTCCCGGTTTCCTCAAAAGGATAGAGCTGGTATTTAAGTAGCATGGTTTGGTTACCCATGACTATGGTGATGAATTTGTAAATGTCTTTAAAAAACCGTCAATGCCAAGGATCAAACAGGAGCCTTAATGCTGCAGCAAACTGCACCTTGTGACGAATTCGTCACATGTACGTTTTTCGCTTATAGTCAATTGTGGAATCAAATATTTCTGTTGTGGGTTCTTTGTGACGAATTCGTCACAAGATGGCGGACAAGAAAAAATAGGTGGGGGGGAGGGCGTATACAATTGCCAACATAGAAAAAAAGTCACCGTTCTGTGAGGCATGTTGTCAACATGGCGTCAGTCTGGTTGGGCATTTTCGTATGCTTTTTTCTGTTGGTAAAGGTGGATTTTGATGTGGGGAAAAATTGTTTTCTGCTAGGTTATACGTTCAACTCATGATATCCAATCAGAAACAAGGATTATCTTTCTTACTATTATACTAGAGGTAGAAGAGGTCCCACTTCACTAGAGTCCATGCCAAATAAGTTTGTTTACACACTTTTAGACTGCGACAAAAGATCTGCCGTCTTGATTCTTGCAATTACTTTCAATGCTAAACTGACATCACATGATCTTTTGTCGCAATCTAGAAGCACTTAAAATTATTTACTCAGGACTCAACCTTGACTGACTTTAATGTGTTTCGCTAAAAGTGATCGAGAGGATAACTTCTGATGCTTACCTGATAAATGAACATGGGATATTCAGGATGACTACTTTTTATCTGTTTGACAATATCCAAATATGCTAGTCCAGGTTTCACCATTAACATGTCTGCACCCTCTCTGACATCCCTCTCCTGAGAAGACAATGAAGAAATTAAAAGCAATTCAAAAGATAAGTATTTTGAGGAATAGGAAAAAAAGATACACAAATCCGTTTTAGAGATAGGTTCTGTTCAATTTTTTAAGAAGACTTCGTCTGCTTGTAGACAGAATAACAGCACAATGATGGTGAAACTCCCAAACCACATATCGTGGTTTGCAACGTTGCAGGCTTGCTTCATTTTTTAAATAGAGAACAAGTCAACATCAACTATCAAAAACTTCCGTAATTTTTGTTCTCTGTGCAAAGCAAATTCTGAGGAAACGTCAAGAAATGATGTTGATTTATTTCCCTTTAAAATAAAAGGAGCACAAAGATTTTTAAGCACCGCAAACGAGATACACGATTTAAGAGTTTTACTATCGATAAGTATGTAATTCTTAAAGACTACGGTCAACTTTTTCATTTATTACAGCGGGCAATTAAGATTTTTTCCTTTTTTTCTGGGCCGAGGTGAGCATAAGGTTTTGAGGATGTGATTTCTTGTGTTCTTTCCCTTCAGTCTTCATAAAAAGTTGGCTGACTGGTATTGCTGAAATTCAATAGGAGCCATAAAAAAATATCACTTTTGAGAAGGGGGCTGAAAAAAAATGGTTTCCTGAATACTGATAATTCCTAAAGGTACCAACAAAACAGAATTCCAAATTTTTGAAAAAGTATAGGGTAATTTTGAAGGTATATATCTCTAGAGGAAGGAGGATGATTCATTGCTTGTCACATCTCCATGATCCTTCAAGTTTATATACTTGGAATAAACGGCAAAGAAATACATTTGAGCATGATCCAATACAATAATAAAAAAGAGCTAAAAAGGGTCTAGAATGTTCACCATTTAGTTCAGCAAAATTCCTGATTTGTCTAATGAAAAATGCTTGCTCTGCCCAAAGTTTTCATGGTGTTGCAGGGGAAGGGGGGAGGAGGGAGCAGAGCAGAAGAAATTTGTTCAATGTTCTCCTTTGCCTTTGCTGCAATTGGGCGCTTTTTGCATTCCTGCAATGAAAAAATACATTGTACTTTTTCTGCACAGGCTGGCAGATTGACTTAAATCTGCCCATTAACTAATTGAGTCATTATAGATCGACGTATAGGTACTCAAACGAATATTTAAGGGTAAGGTAACACTTCGTTTCGAAATACGGATTTATTCCAATAAGGACCCTGTTAACGGAAACAGCTGTCTCTATCAAAACTGCATCAGCCTTGAGTCAAAGCACAGTTGCCTGACATACCTGTCTGTTGGGTTGATCAGCTCTTAAAACTGATAAACTAGGCTACAGCGCTAATTAGGCTAATTACTGAATCAAACCATTGCATGCTTTGATGGCCACAATTTTGCACACATGCATTTCTCAAAAAAGTACACTTTGATTTACAACTGAGCAGTATCTCCTTGGAAATTGAAGGAAAGAATGGTGGAGGATTGATTGGAATTTAAGGAATTCTAAAAAATATCAAGAAATTGAACTTACGTAAAATAGGCACTGTTATGGACCAAATTTATGCATGAGAAGTTTCAAAACCCACAGATTTAGCAATGATAAGTTTCGGACACAGACCTCATTAGATATTTAATATGGACAGGATAGGATTCTACACTTAGTGCAAAACGTAGAGCTTTGAAGATCGATGGGTATGGAGAGCAAAGTTTAACAAACATTTTAAGGAACCAACATACGAAAAATCAAGACTTACGGCTGCTCTTTGTGCCAAACCACTGCTGCCACCAGGAAGTTGGTAGCATTTCCGATCTCCAAAAGCTGGGGCAGACTTGGCAGCCTCTCTGAAAGGACCATAGAATGAAGAGAAAAATTTGGCGGAGTAAGATAGAACGCTAACACTGTGCACTAGGTAACCTAATGACGATTTTATGGCTGCAATCATACCATCCATCATGCATGACGGTGCTACGATGTGAGCGCCTGGAAAAGAAATGAATCAACAAATGAAAATATGGTAAAAAATTTTGATACTCTAGAGGAAAAATAAAGTAGGACATGCTATGTTTCTTTCAACGTGAATATATAAATAGAAAATACCTTGTAGAAACAGTTACTGCTCCCTCTAGACTAAATAGTTGCCATTATTTCTTCATCTTCAAATTATTTTACTTTTTTTTTCTTCTTGAGTTTTACTCCCTCTTATCTTTTGTGATAATTTTTTGTGCTAAATCTAATCTGTTTCACAGTGAGACCTCTATTTATTGGATTTCACAGGGCTGACAAATCAATCCATTAAATTGTAGAATCTGTAGATTCGAATGAGGTTAAACACTTAAGGCCCTTTACGGAACCAGACAACTGATCCCTTAAATCACGATCCAATAAATTGAGGTCTCACTGTATTCTATCTTATAAAACTGAGCCATCCACATAAGCGCATGCTCATGGCTGGCCATTAATGAGTATTTATGCTTTGTTAAATGTACATCTCGAAAATAAAATTATCTGTTTAAATATTGAGACATGTTGTAATTTAAGGGATTTTTTTTTACAGACAGCAAAATAATTAATTGAATTTTTGTCGAAACAAACTGAATGGATTCATTCCTGTGTTACTTTAATAGCTAATTGATCTATTATTTCTCATAGACGCGTCTTTTCTTTTTTGGGGAACAGAGGAAGGTAAGACATAGCCCCTATGTTGCAGGCAAAAATCAATTATCAGCAACAAGGCATCTCCTTAAGCAAATGACAAATATGATTATGTACCTAACCAGCTCGCTGCTTGCCTGGGCCTATGAGAGCTGAAGTAAAATTCAGCTAGATACAAATCTTAAATAAAGTAATTTTTTTAAGAATCTTAAAAAAATTTCAGCCATTTTATTCGAATTTAATTTAACAAAGAAAATAAGTTTTAAAAAAGTACACAATTTGCTCACGGAGCAGTAAATTTTTACTTTTACATAAACCTTCCTATTTGTAGATATTTTTAAATAAAAATCCGATTGGCAAAAGAAAAATTAATTTTAAAAGACGGGAGCGAAGCATATATTCAGGGCAAATAAAAGCAGCAGAGAAAATGATTTCACAAAGCTTCTTCCAGTTCCCATCTCTTTAAGTTGTCCCAGTTGTGGAGGGTGTCTTGAAATCAGGCCCGCCACAAGGGTGGGGATACTGGGTACCTGGTACTTGTCAATTTTCATAAAGGTCATGAAAGTTAGCAAATCTGTTCCAACTTAGTCCTTTAAAGTGTCCTCAAGTACTTGTCTTTCGGCACCAAAATTTTTCTTCTTGGACTTACTTCACCTCCTGTGCAGTTTTGTGTGTGTCCTCATTATTTTCATTTTTTCGAGTTGGTGTGTTTACACTGATCAAGTTTCTTTGAGGATTGAGTTTTCCTCCAAAAACTTTGTTTGAGGTGGAAAATTTGTGGCTGGGGATTAGGGAAAAAACTGAAGTCATTTTTGGTTACAACGTTTAAGTTCACTTAGACCGTTAACTTAGTCGTTTAATCAATCACGTTTTTACAAAAGTATTTCTGCAGGCCTATGAAATCCATCTTGCGGTATTACTGTCATTAAGAAGACCACAAAATAATTCCAAGACACTTTTGACAACTGGAGCGACAACTTTAAAAAGTGGGAGATAGGACAACGCCAAAAAGAAAAGAAAAGAGAAAAAATCATTCCTCAAAGAAGAAAGAAATCATTTACTCTGCTGCTTTCATTTGTTCTCGATAAGCTTTGCTCCACTCTGCCAAAATAAATTTTTCTTTTCTAACTTACCAGCAGTTCCATAACTGTATGCAATTTCTCCAATTCTTCTTATTGAATCCATGTTATTGATTGATCCATCATCGTATAATATGCCACAGTGACCATGGTCCGTATAAGCACACAAACACACCTACAACAGTAACATTAGAACAGTGCATTAATAATACAACTAAAAAAACACATTGGTCCGTTGAGGTATCAAAAATTACTTAAAATATTTTCTGACACAAACAGAGTTTTCTGTAGATGCTTTAACTCCAGTTGCAATTGCAATGAGTTATTTAAATTTTATGAAGATTTTTCTTGCAATCATGTTCAGGTTGAGTTCTAATTTGGGTCTGATCATTATTAATGTTTACTGAGTAACGATTATTGACAGATTTCCTTCTTATGTTGTTTTTCCCTAGACTTTGCCTTACTTGGCATGAACAGTGTTGCTATTTTTTCTTTCCTTTTTTTTTTTTACTTTATGTTTACCATTTTCTACTGGAAGGCTGATTTATATCACTTGATTTTTAATTTATTTGTAAACAACAAACAATTTGGTACAAAAATGTTTGAAATTAGCTGAGACACTAATCTTCAAAATCGCAATAAAATAGTAGTTATAAAAAATAGCCTTCGGGTTTCATTGAAAGGAGTATGTTCGAAAACTGCCAAATACTTACATCACATGCAATGACAAGATCTGGGAACCATTTTCTAAGATTTGGAATTGCTTGTACCACAGGATTGGCCGTTGAGTCTGCTGAGGAGCCAGTTTTATCCTGAGAGATAAGAGAAAATGAGTGATTTTAGTTTCAGGTAAAAATAGCGGAGAGCAAGGTAATAAATTAAAAATGATGAAGGATGAACAGTGAATAATGTGCAGAAAGATAGGGGCGAGAGACAACATTTTTTATCTCCAGAAGCATCTATGACAAAACCTCTCTTCTTCTTTCAGAATCTCTCTGTATTTCTCTGCTTTTCTTTTTTTTCCAAAAAATGTGATGATTTAAAGAGAATTACCATGAAAATAAATCTATGAATAGATAAGAACTCAATGTCAATGGTATAACTAAAATAAACTAACCTCCAATGAATTACTGTGTTTTCAGAATTTCTGCTTGTATTATTTTTGTGAAATAAAATCATCTACAAATTTTGCATGAATTTAAAGAACAATGATAGAAAAAGAGATGCTAATGTTTGCCATCAAGGGTTGGAATTCCGTGTAAAATTGAAATTCTGGTGATAGACGGGAGAAAGCCGATTGACCACAATTTTCTCTCAAAGAGAATGGACCACTAGACAAGGTACAAATCCAAGCAATCTGATACATGTTTCTTAACCAGAATTTCACGTAAAACACGATTTGCACAACGAACATTACTGAGACTAACTCCTAACGAAGATATTAACGTTTTTATTTCACATCGGTTACACGGAATTTGAACTGCCCGCTCACAAGAAACTCCAAGCTCTATGTGAGTCAAATCGTGCACTACAACGGTTTCAGCAAACTTCTCAATCGAGCAATGTTCATTTCCCACCTTGTGTTGTTCAAACTATCAGCAATTGGCTATAGCTGAGCCAAAGTGTCAAAATTGAGGTTGTCAGATTTTTATATCGCAGAGACTGTCATGATAACGTTCAGCGCGCCATGTGAATCACGTAGAGCATTAAGTTTTCATGAGCAGGTGATTTGAATTCACACATCAAGATTCATTAAATATCGTCGTAAGGAGTTAATTTCGGTAATTTTTGTTGTATGCATCGTGTTTTACGTGAAATTTTAGTTACAAAACGTGTATCAGAATGCTGAAATTCGTACCTTGTCTAGTGGTCCATTCTCCTTTCTGGTGCGATGTTAATTCTGACCAATCAGCAAGGCAACTGTGAGCGTGTCTTGAGGCTAATGAACCACAAGACAAGGTAAATATTAGACCTCTGCTCTGAGAGACATGTTTCGCCGTCAAAATGAGTAACCTTCGGCATGAGTAGAACTTACCTTTTCGAGGTCTGTTATGACTCCAAACAGAAGAACCGACTTCAAACCTTGTTTAACAAGTGGACTTAATATAGATTTGAGTTGATTGACTCCATAACGGTAGACCCCTGGCATGTTTTTGATTGGTTCCACAGCATCTTTTGCATCTCTGAAGATTAATGAGAGGATTATTAAGTTGTTAAGAACGTTTATAAGTTAAGCAGTTGGTAGATTTAGATATACGGAAGAAAAATAATGAAGAGAAAAAAATGTTTTCAAAAACAAGCGAGTATGTTAAGATGAGTCAGACAATATGCTAGCTTGAACTAAGAGGAGCTTCATACTAAAATAAATTTGTCATTAAGTCCACTTGCATTTGATTTACTGCATTTACTGGGTAGACAATCAAAGCTGAATTATAATTGCTCATCAAGAGAGCCTTTGCATATGAAGGTAGAATCATACCACGCTATCCATAAAAATAATGAAAAAACATGAAGAGGTATCAGGGATTTGATTGAAAAGATTATTGCATCAAGTATAACATTCAACTTCTGTTTCCATTCGATAATTTTCCCCCTTTTCCATAAACTAGTGGTTTTCTCATTTTCTCAAATGTTGCTCTCGTATTCTCGTTTCTCGAAAAGTGACTCAAAGGCCTAAAGACATTCATGTTGTACTATTGAAGGGTCAAAAGTTTTGTTTTAAGGATGCAAACATGGTTCTTCTACAGAGTAGAATGACACAGCAGTGGCGTGAAGCTGGGTAAGCAAGGTTAGCACTGCGTTCCCTAAAATTTTCAAAGACAGAAGAAAATTACACCGATGAAATTTCGTCAAGTTTGCTGAATATATTTGAAAAAAGGTTGAAAACAAGTAAATCATACTTAAAAAGAAGGCAGGCACGTAGCANCCCCCCGAAAGCAAAAAAAAAGGAGGAAAAGAAAGAAGGAAAGAGGAGACAGTAGATGAGAAAGTGCAAGAAAAGAAGAAGTTTGAGACTGTCGAAGATATTTATCTCTTTTAATGGAGAATCTTAAATGGAAACACCGTGTTCATTCCTAAATTTTCTGTCAGAAAAGCCTCAAAATGCGTCCAAACAGAGTTGAAATTTCAAAAAATTTCCAGCTTTGTTGAGTGTAACAATTTGTAAGTATTTTGTGTTAAAGTAAAAAAAAGCTTAATTTTCTGCATCAATTTATGAAAAATCTATGTTACAGAAGCCTCGAGATGCGTCCAAATAGAGTTAAAATTTCGATAATTTTTAGGATCTTTTTGAATGCATTTAATTCAAAAGTCTTTTTTGCTGAAAGTTCAAAAAGGAAACACAATTTTTCTGCAGACATTGATGGAAAATCTGCTTCACAGAAGCCGCGTCTAATTAGATTACAATTTTCTAAAATTTTCCAGGGGAGGACCCCCCTCCGGTCTAGGGCATTCCATACCCCCCGGTAATAGAGGGACTCTGCAAGCTCCTCCGAAACAAAATCCTGGCTACTGGCCTGAAAGAAGGGAGGAGGGGAATACTTGTGGATCACAGAAGAGACAACGAAGCCAGGCAGATGGACACAACGAAGCGTGCTGTGCAATCAGGATACGGGCCATGGTCTGAGGAAGTGCTTGCTATGGCCTGAGCAGAGAACCTCTGACTCCACGAGACTAGATAATCGAGGCAGGCGGGGAAAGCGGTACGCAAAAAGTCCAAGCCATTCGATGCTCAATTGTACCGCTGAGTCAGTCTTGCCGGGCAGTTTATAACACATTAAGTTGCTGTTCCTGCTTTTGCTGTACTCCTACCTTTTCTTCGCTCTTTTGGTTGTGGTTAAGATTCCTTGCTCCGGAACAGCGTAGCTCCAATAATGAACTACTCTTATAAATAAAATGAGTAGAGGGAAATCTGAATACCTACGTAAGAAAGTTACTAAAGGTAAGTCAAGTAAGAAAGTAAGATAAGACGATACTTTAATTTTCTCACATTTGATCAGGTTTTATTTGTGAGACAGATGATATGAGGTGGTAGAAGGTCTAAATTGTGTAAATTTTCCAAGGAAGGCTCTGAAGCGGCAGACCCAATCTGGGAGCCATTGCACATCCTCCAACACCCCTCCCCCCTTGTCGATGGAGAAAGAGTCGTTCCAGCTTGTCCTATCCCCAATCCTGCTGTATGCCACAGTGCAATAGAAACATTTGTCACCAAAATGATCAGCTACTTTCAGTTTGTACCACTACTTACCCGGAATTTTTTTTTCCTTTTTCAAAATTGGGCAATCTTTAAAAAAACCAATGTAATAAGTAAGTAGAGTCCATTTCAGATTACTTATCTTCTTTTGCTGTGAATGCAAGATAGGGAATGCATGTAAGTAGCGTGAGTAGAAAAGTAATCTGAAATTGGTTCTGACGATGCTTGCTGACAGCTTTGGCGAGCTGAGTCACATGGTCAGATCGGAGAGAGCTGATTTAGAAACTGATGAATACTAGGATCAGACATGAAACTTACGTGATAAAAATGGGATACATCAAATTGTCCGCAGAAATGGAAGTACTCGAAGTGTGCCATTTTCGAAGAACAGGATGGAAATAACCACTTTGAAGGATATTACGAGCTTCTTGCTTAATCATGCTGCCTTTGAAGTAGTTGCAAAAGGACTAATAATAACAACGAAGATAATGTATAAAATGACGTTTACAAAACCACCAATAAATGCTTCCGTCAAGAATTTGAGAGCAATTTAGACTATAAGTTACACTAAAAAAGGTTTGAGAAAAGTACACTTACACTTATGCTGATAAAAAAATGCCACAGGCAATACAGGCATTGGCATTTGCATGCATGCAAGGCAAGAAATACAAGAAATATGCAAAAGTAAACAATCATTCCTATTGGTCCATTAATTCTACTTTGATTGGTTCATCACAGGGAAAGTTCGAGCCCGCGATTTTTAAATGTGCTGTGGACAGAGTGATGCGTTCGACTGCAATTTTGATGCATTTTTATCTGTATGAACGTGGCAGTATTGCTTCTTAATCTGTAAATGCTTGAATTTGGGAGGGCTTAAATAATCATCGTATCCTTGATTAAATCATTACATAAAACCGCAAAGACACTCTATTCCTCTACGAAGAAGTAGAGTCCCTTTATAACCCAGAGTTAAGACAACTCACTTTTGGTTAGGCTGAAAGTGGCCTAAAAAAAAATCCAATTCTGATTGGTTCTCGCTCATGGAGGCCGAAACGAGTGCACCAAGATGGCGGTACCTCGAATGTGAACAAAAGTAATGAAAATATAACTAAATTGTGGTTTATCAAGAGTGAATTGTTATTTTAATCGCACCAAAATGAAAATATATTAAGAAATTATCCACTAATCAATCTAATTTTAAGGTTTTGATCAGTTTTTGTTGATGTTGTTGTTTTTGGATGACAGACATCGGAGGATTCCTTATCCGTATTCCTCAATATCGTTCGTTTGAGTGCACTCGTTTCGGCCTCCATGGCCAGCCAAGGCCGGCTGCCAGTCAGCTGATAATCGAGTTGTCTTAACTCTGGGTTATGAAGGGACTCTACGAAGAAGCATCATGCTCATCGACTCTCATCCATTCATCTCCTTATCACCCCATGGTATAGATATCGTTAGCTCGGTGTTAATGATCATCGTTATCATCATCGTCGAAATTCAGTAAATTCAGCAATGCGGAACAAATCAAAAACACTGTGTATCCCCCCCCCCCCCCCCCC